TTGGTTAAACCATCTGGCAACCCTAGTTGTATAATTTTCAGAAATAGCTTTATACTAGCTTGGAACATTGCACTTTTCAGAATTTAATTAATTAAACCATTCTGATAAAACATTCATTTGTTTAAAGTTTGGTTTTATTTCCTGCTATTGTGAAAGTTAGCAACATTAATGTTCAGATGGGCTAAAGAAAATCAGTTTTGTTTCCCTAAAATTCCTTCATTCTCCCGGCTCATTGTACTTCTTTTTTATCCCTTGATTTTGCTAGGAAGAATTATATTTCATGATATTATTCTCCATTTTTATTATTAAAATATAATTCATATATTTTAGTTGTGTATAGAAGCAATACAAGTGGCTTTTCTTAAGGCAATTTTCTAAGGGATTTCTTCAGTACATTTCTCCATCATGAAATAAAATTGTTTTCAGGATAACTAAATTTGTAGTGTGCATTTAAGGCAGCCACTTGTTCTGTTTGTTTGTTTGTTTTTCTACTAACAGTAAGATCTGAGACACATATTTTAGCGGCATCTCTTTGAAGAATACTTATGCTTTAGCATCATACTTGTTATGCCAGGATATATGATCAGTGGTTTTGATTGTTTAAGGGACTGAAAATAACTATATAGTTAAGGTTGTAGCTGTCCTGTTATAATCCCAACTTTTACCACCATTCTACAAATTTGGCTTGAAATACCATTTTAGTAGGAAAATTGGCAGGTTGCTCTTAGACCAGATTTTTCTTTTTTTTTCTTCTGTATTTTAGGCAAATTGATCAAGAAGTTTATTTCTTGGTTACCACAATTACAAGGCAAAAAGATACATATCAACTAAAGATGTTACGGACTAGTCAACTATCTGATAAGCATTTGCTTATCAGATAGTCTGTCAACTAGTAGATTACTCTCCTCCCCCTTCCTGCCTATATGAGATAGAGGCTGTAGGGGGGGAGGGATACTTCAAAGTGGCACTGTCTCACAGCTGATCTGCGGCTCAGCTGTGTGGCGCTGCCCTTTTAAAATGCCGAGGCGCCATGGAGCCTGAGGTCAGCTGGGGACTCCCCAGCTAACCCTGGATTCTGAGCAGCATTTCCCCAGAACCCGGGCTTCATGGCTTTGCCCCTTTGAAACACCACCTCTGTGTTTCAGAGGGGCATCCGTTGCACAGCTGATCCCTGGCTCAGCTGTGCAGCGCTGCCCCTTTAAAATGCAGCCTCTGCATTTCAAAGGGGCAGCCATGGAGCCCAGGGTCAGCTGGGGACTCCTCAGCTGACTCCAGGCAACATGCAGAGCAGCATGAAGCCCCCACTGGGGACTCCTATGCATTTCAAAGCAGGCACCTGTGTGCAGCCCGTAGTCAGTGGGACTTCCTGCTGGCCCCAGGTTGTATGTGGGGTTCTTGCATTCCTCCTTTGAAATGTATAAGAGGCCCGGGAGGGCTCTTGTTCATTTCAAAGGAGGAATGCAGAAGGGCCTTTTGACTAGTTGAGTCATCAGTGGAAATTCCATCGACTACTCAACTAGTCAGTTAACTGCAGTTTAACATCCTTAATGTCAACTTGCCTTTTTTCAAATAAAGTTTAGTGAACAGAGAATAGGCAGCTTAGCTGCCTTGAATCAACCATGTCATTTTTCTTCCTTTGTCTACCATTACCGTGTTTTAATTTAAGGTAACCTGCAAAGGATATTTTAAAATTGGGCTTGTACTCAGTTTTATTACTTTATGTATAAAGAGGGCCTGAAAGTTATTTTAAATATTTATTTTCTGCTTGCTTTTTACCTTAGTAATATCAGAAACTTTCTCACTGGTCTCCCCTGGTTTTTCTAGGTGACTTATAGCGTGTTTCAGAAGATGCATCCTATTAGCTCACACAACTCAATAGAAGACATGGGGATACTGGAACTTAAATACAACATCCTTTCTCTAAATAATTAATTAGATATTTAATTGAAATATTTTAAGAAAAGCAAAACAAAATTTAAATAGCATTAAAGTCTCTTTCTCTTTTAATTACTAAGCTTTCCCTCTTGGCTCGTGTGGTATTGTCTTACTCTCCATTCATCACAGTGTCTTCCTGTCCAGACAGAACCCAACTCTCAAATGTAAATAAGCAGAAAGAAATCACCTTAGTCAAACCTTCACACCTCTTTTAAACATCCTAAAGAAGCAAAGTAGGGCACAAGCCCAATGTTTTTTTTCCTTTGCAGGTCTCCTTTAAGAGCAGAGGCAACCTTGATCCAGCAGTTTTGGAGGTAGAGGCAAGTAATTTTTTTACTTTTCTGTCAAAATTTCATTAATTAATTAATTAATAATTAATTTGAAGACGGCAGAGTTCAAAAATCTCAAATATTGAGTACACTCAGTATGAAGAATTTATCTTTAGGTTGATTTAAGCTTTTTTTGCTTATTGTCTGTGTTTATTTGAGCAATGAAACTAGTGAAATTGTTGTAGATAGCTATATTTTAACCCCGTTGGATTTGTAGCCCTTATAAACGTATTTTTAAACTGTTTTCCATTGGTATCATCTTCACAATATGAATCAGTAAATGGAGATGTTTTATCATGTGACTTCCTCCTAAAATTACTTATTTATGCTCCGTACCGCCATACCTAATGAAATACAACACTTAGCTTTCTACAACTCCTCCTGGTGTTTTGTGAAAGGATAAGTAAGTTTATGCTGGATAATAGGTACCTTTTTTCTGTTTTTGTTTTATAAAGCTCTGTGCTATTTAGGCACAGCTCACTATTATGGAGCAGTGCAGTCGTAGCTTATTGAAGAAGCTTTGCCTCAAAATTCTCCCTCCCTTCCAGGGAGGTGGCAGGTAGTGTGTGTACTTAGCCACCCTCATTAGTCCAGGAAGGAATCTATTTCTGTGCTCTTCTGAAAGGAGGAACTGCTGTTGTATTTGGTACTAGTGCAGACTGGACCCTGGAGGCACAAAGGCTTCTAGTTAGCCCGCTGCCACCCCTATTGATCTGTGTCGGGGCCAAGTGCTATCTGGTCCATAGAAAGCAGTTCATTTTTTATTGTATAAACTGGGTATATGGTTACATTAATTTTTTTCTATTTTAGTAGAAGAATTAAGCATGCATAGAGTATAAATGAGGGCATATTCCCAGTATCCTTCTTCCCACCTCACTGCCTTTTCTCAAATCATGCTTTGCTCCCGCTTTGCTCCCGGTGCCTCTGGTCTGCTGGGGACCGTCTCCAGCAGACCAGGGACACCCGGAGCAAAGCTGCAGCGGCGGCGGGGCCCCGCGCCTCTGAGGCTTTGCTGTGGCAGCAGACCAGGCTTTTTTTGTGGACCCTGGGGTAGAGCAGCTGGAGTGCTGCCGGGTTGGTCCCGCCGGGCAGCCCAGCTGTTCTGTGCCAGGCTCGAGATTCAGCCGCTGTTGAAACTGATCAGTGGGTGATTCCAGGAAGCAATTCTGCCTCCGGCTTCCTGTAGTCAGCCCCTGGTCAGTTTCAGCAGCAGCGGCTGAATCTGGAGCCAGTTCCGACTTGCTTACAAATTCAACTTAAGAACAAACCTATAGTCCCCATTCTTGTACGTAACCCGGGGACTGCCTGTAGTAACCTGGCTGTGAAGTTTTTACTTCATTCATCGTCAGCCAGAGTGGATTCCTGAGTCACTTTCAGTAAACATTTTTAGAACACCTAGTACTTTTTACAAAATTCTGAAAGAATAGAATCAGAGAAAATGTATGTATAAATCTCTGCAAATTCTGCCTATAAAGGATTACAAGAATACATTGTTGTTTTAGAAATGTAATTTATTATTATTATTATTTGTCCTTCTGGTTTGTTTCCCCTCTTCCATGTCGTTTTCCCATCCATCCTTTGTCTGTATTCTGTGGCAAAACTCCTTCTAGCAAGTACAATTGATTCATGATTCCCTTCAGTATTAGTCAGTGCTGCTCCTTCAGTGGTCAGAGAGGGTTCCCTTTGAGAATTTATCTTCACTACCAGCCTGATTAACATGGAAGTGATGTATCCAACGGGGTTAAATTATGAAGTCTAGTATAGATGCTGTAAATTGACTGCTGATCGCTCTCTTGTCAATTCCGATACCCCTCCTCAGTGAGAAGTACAAGGGAAGTAAATGGCAGAGTGTCTCTTGTTGACACACCACAGTAAGTAGATTGAGGTATGTCGATTTCAGCTACGCTAGTCAAGTAGCTGATGTTGCATAACTTAGACTGCTCTTTCTCCCAGAGAGTAGACCTGCTCGAAGACATAACAGAAACAGGAAATACTTAGCCTGAACCCAAGTTGTTTCTCATTTGGCAGCGTAATGTTGTGCCAATAGACTGAAAAGCAAAACATTGTGGACTCATTTTATTTACCTGTTCTGGACTTATTTTCCCAGATGCAGAGAACATGTAATGGAATAGTGATTAAATAAATTTTACTCATTAGTGTCATGTTGGATATAATTTAATGCCTGATTGGCTATCTAGGTGTGAGTGGTTAATTTTTGATTAACACTCAACAAAATGTAATTTTGAAAATTCTGTGTCTGTGGCCTTTACTCTCTGAACATTAGTTTATATTAATTAATCTAAAGGATATCTGTACCATTTTGTCTTGGTAGCTTTGGAAGACTAATTATTGTCTCATAAGCAACAGCAGTACAGCTGCTAAGTGCAGTTGATTTTACAGGAAGCATGTTTAAACAGAATTTTCCTTGATAGTACCATATTAATGGTACATTTGACTTAAAAGCAGTTCTTAAATTGAATTTCTCCCTGTTGATTATTGACATGAAGATTTTATGAAGCTTGTTAAGATCTTGTTGTTGATATTACCCAAAACTTCTACTCGGAGATGTAGACAAAATACAAGTCACTCCAGCCTTAATACAGAGTGACTTGAAAATAAAAATAATTAAAAAAAAAAAAAAGTTCAAAAAGGATTTCAAGTTTTCTGTTTTTATTCTGTGGTGGTGTTTCAGAGGGATTTTGGAACTATAGAGAATAACCACTGAAATTTAAATATAATGGATTAAAAACCCTTATTCATGGAAAAGTCTGTAATCTTTTATATCTTTTAAATTATTATACTAGCAAAGAGAAACACAGTCATAGCTTGGTTGTAAATTAAGTGGCACATAGAAAATCTGTTATGAAATTAATGTAGTACTTCATGATTGGAGAATCAGAAAAATACTACAGTTGAACAACGTAAAATTATTTTAACATCCTATAGTATTCCATTTCAGTGTCAGCTTGACTACTATACTAATTGAGGATTCAGTTCCGCTCCCATTAAAGTCAGTGTCAAAGCTCCTATTAACTTAAATAACACAGAATTGGGCTTTAAATTCTAGCTTATGAGGAATTTACAGAAATATATTTTAAAACAAAAATTGTTAAAACGAAGTTAGGGGTTAAGAGCATATAGCATTAGTTCAAAGATATAAAAATCACAAGAATTTTGTCATCTTGAAAATCTGGCAATTCAGAGTTAAGTTTTATATTTAAATAATTCAAACATATTAAGATCAGTAATGCTGAGTTTAGGCACCTAGACAAACTTAAGTACATGCTGTAGTAATCATTAACATGCAATAATAATATAATCATGATTAATGCAATTTAGTGGTTTTGGTCTCAGATTAGATTAAGATCCACTTATTATTTATATCTATTTTCCCATCATGACATCATTCCAGAGTTTTTTTGAGAGTCTTAAGTGTACTCTCAGCTTTAACACCGTTTTAACATAGATTTTTCTCTGGATATATCCTTTGATTTTTTTTTATTATTATTTTAAATTTCACCTGCAAACAGTGAACAAGGAGATCAAAGAATTGTAAAATCATGCAAAAGTTCTGATAATTTATAGCTATGTAGCAGTGACTTTCACTTTTAAGGAGAGATTGGTACACCAAAACGATGAAAGTAGCTGGAGAGCACCAGTAGATTAAGATTAATTTAAATTTGCTTTGTTTCACCAGATTAGAAAAAAGTATCTGACTAGTATTAGTGGGTTTTGTGTTTCATTGTGTCTGTGTATTGAGTGCCACTATGTCTTTTAAGCAGTAATGCCTAGTCTAGTGCACAATCACACTGTTTTGAAAAAGCAATGACAATTCGGCCAGTTAATTTACTTGTATCAACGCTTCATAGTGTCCCTCATACCAATGACCCATTACAACTAAAAAAATTGCTGCATGCAAATTAACTGTAGAGAAACTAGTGGTTAGATGAATTACCTCTGTCATAGGAGGCCAGCTTAAATGTTATCTAGCTGTTGACCTGAGTGCGTATATTATGATTACATAGGGACACAATTAGGCTTCGTCTACACTGCAGGGTTTTTGCTCAAGAAGCCTTTTGCGGAAGAGATCTTCCACAAAAACATCTTGTGCAAAAGTGCGCCCAGACCTCAAAGAACATCACAAAAGCGATGTGCTTTTGTGCAAGAGAGTGTCCACATTGCATGGACACTCTTGCTCAAGAAAGCTCTGATGGCCATTCGCAGAATGACCATCAGAGCACCTGTGCTTTTACCGATAGGGGTTTCTTGTGCAAAAACCCCTCTGGAGCATCCACACCTGCCTTTTGCACAAGAGCCGTAACACAAAAAGGAGTTATTACTTGTGGGGAGAGGAATATCAGCAAAAGCCCTCTGTTCTGCTGATTTACTTGTGCAAAAACACACTTGAGGTGTGGACGGTCTGCTGGTTTTTGCGTAAAAACAACTGTTTTTGTGCAAAAACCTTGTAGCGTAGATGTAGCCGAAGATACAACATCCATTAGTAATGTAACTTAATTACAACTTACTGTCTTCACAATTGTCTGTGCATGAGATTTCAGTTTTAATTATATGGAAAGTTTGAAGTATCTGTGCTGTTATTTGTAAGATCATTTTGAAAACGTAAAAGTGACAACTGCCAAATTTCTAAAAGGACCCAGGTTTTTAATTCATAGTCTAACATTTACTTGTAAATTCTTAAATTAATTGTGTGCTTGGAGTAAATGCCATAATTTTCAGGAAGATGCACTATATTTTTCATACAAAGCAAATGTTGATTTCTTAGACCTCGTTAACACTACAGAGTTTTGGTGGCAAAAGGCAACTTTTGGTGGTAAAACAATGGAGATGTAATTGCACTATCACTTCTGGTGACAAAATTGCTCTCTTTTGGTGACCAAAAAAAAAAACACATCAAAGGGAGGCGTAATGCTTTTTGCTGCAAATTTAGTGACAAAACGTGAATGTAGGAGCTGACATTTGTTATATAGCTA